AAGCCACAGCATAGGCAGATGACAAAAAAAAACGGAATACACAACGAATTCATTGATTAAATCATTTAAAAACTGCTTGAGACATTGTAGTGGAGACCAGCTCTCATCGAATCAGACTGTTACCGGTCATTAAACCGCGGGGAAGGAGGATACGAGTGGCACAAAGGAAGGACAGCTATAAATAACCAATCAAACGGGACCATATGGAAGGAACCGATGGATGAAGTATACCTCAACGAAAAAAACTGGGACTGTCGCACACTGGTTGACAATGAACTGGCGTACGCGATGCGGAAGCACCACCGGCTGATCAAATGCCTCAGCAATGACAATGCGCTGAACAGCAAACAGTGTCTCGGTGTGTTTGGCCATTCTCATGCTCACAGTGCAAATTGCGGAATGTGACAACCTCAAAGTGACAAACTTTCTTCACTGGGTGGGCGTGCTTGGCTTACGGATGCAAGTCTGAAAAAGCGTTGAAACATCAGATGATGGTTCTGTTAGAAGGAAGTGAACGAACCCGATCGGAAGGAAGTACAGTTAATTCGTGCGGTCGTTTGGACACGGTCAGTATCGGTAAATCAGGTCGCGAAATGGATAAGAAACCTAAACACGCTCGGTGGGTGTGTGACTGCATCTCAGGAAGTTCAGCTTGGGGCGTATTCGTGGTCAGAACAAGAAATATCCCTCGCAAAAGGTTTCATATTCCTACACGTTATACATCTCAGCTAGGTGACAGGCGAATTCCGGTTCAGAACAATGACCCACTGTGGAATGTTTACCTCAGAACCATTACCAAGTATCAGCTAATTATGAATCGCAAAACTAAAAAATGTTGGGAACGGAGATTTCATCCTGAAAGTGGAACCAAACTATGTTGAAAAGTACTGCACAGCTGTTTCTTCTCTTTTACGGATGATCAGCAATGCGCATCTCACCAAACCTGGCGTCTTTTCGCACTTACAAAAGGAAATCTCCACGGAAACTCCCAAATTCTCTCATACCACCTGTTTATTCTAAGGTCCTTAGAGGAAGAATAAAATTCACCTGATGAATTAAATTTCTATGTGGGAATTCGTCGTCCGAGGAGCCAGGTCACAAGTGCGACCACGTGGTGGTTGAGTGATGCTATGCCCCGTCTAAATGAGCGCTAATCACAGCTGATCGACTACTCGTGGCCGAACAGTTAATTGTTCAAACTACTGACTGGGAGGTTGTGGGTCCGAAACTTCCTGCATTTCGTGAGATGCGCACTACCGATGATTCCCAACAAGGATGAAACAGCTTCTGAGCTTTTCAGCGCACATCGACTTCACTGACAGGACGAAATCTCCATTGAAATTCCCCCATCTCTTCGGAGCAGCAATAAAAATGTAAGTGAAAATGAACAATTACATACAAATAAAAGTGGTTGTAACGGGAAGCTCAATTGCATCCTCTGAGTCTTCCGCTAACATTACGTTTACTTTCAGGTAAGTGTCCACCTACGTTAGAATTGGTGTTCAATTATGAAGCTTTCAAAAAGGAAAACATCATTTCGTTTGTGAATCCAGTCTCGAATTGTGACTGGTATTCAGTTGGCCGACGCAGTAAACTGTGTACGGTAAGGGAAACGATGGACAGAGACTTGACATCCAACGCTGAAAGCAACAAAGTAGTTTTTACAAATGCACTCAGTTGCATATCGACTTGGTTTTGACGGCAGACTCACGTGGCACCCAGCTGAACTGCTCGTTAATGATCTTTCTAGTAACTGAATGTGCTGCACCAGGCCATCTCACGTTTCAGTTGGCACAATATTGGAGATATCGCGATGCATGTATTAGACTACTCATAAATTTGGTGAAAACTCTTCGACAGCCCACGACCGGTTTTACCCATTTCGGGGACCATCAGGTGGGCGCAGTCTCCGAGTTTTGTCAACCTTGTGTTCTGCTTGAACCAAAATTGGACAGATTTCGACAAATACACTCATTTGTATATCAATTCTTTTTTGATGGAAGACCCACTTGGAATTCAGCTGAATCTCGTTAAAAACATCATAAATGAGAGATTCAGCTGGGTTCTAGGCGAGTCTCTCGCAAAACCGAATTTGTTTGCAAATGAGTATATTTCGCTAATTTGGTGGGTTCAAGTAGAACAAAAGGTTGACGGAAACTCGGAGACGTCGACTACCTGATGAGCCCCAAAAGGGCAAAACCGGCGTGGGCTGTTGAAGATCAGCAACCTTATGAGTAAAAAACCGTTCAGCTGTAGCACCCTCTCAGTGCCTAGCTGGCATGCTACCCGAAGGAAGCACGAGGGCTGGGATACTACCAGGTTGCCCAAGCCTAGGCAGGGGAAGTCGAGTGGCAGAAGTCGGGTTCGAACCACTGACCTTCCGGTCAGTAAATTCGCGGCCTAACCACTTGGGCCATCTCGCCCCAACTTTATGAGTAATGTGATATGTCTATGGGAAACATGTAGTATTAAGGATAAAATAAATAATAATCGCTCAGCTGCAAAGCGCTTTCGGAGCCTAGTTGCCAAGCCATTCGAAGGAAGTACTAGGGCAAAGGAACTGTCAGTACACCAAACCCAAATCAGGAGCGGTCGAGGTTGGGTTCGACTGTTAGCATGACTAGTGACAATGGTCCTGAATAACCGTACGCGGCTTACCGGTGATCAAGTGGTAGTAACACAAATTGGACTAATCACAGTTTGAGCGACCTTTCCCCCAATTAGTCCACTATCTGTAAAGCCAAAGCAGCGCCAAGACAGTAACTACGTGTAGGAATGAAGATGAACACAAAGGCACATACTTTCGTCGGGAGAAATTATGATGTTTCCGGCAAGTAGGTCGTTGTGACACAAGACAATCGGGGTCGAAGCATGCTGAAGGATGGATGCCATCTCGTCAACTTCATGTAGGAGGTCTGAGATCGAGGGAAGGCGGTGCCTTTCGGAAGAATACACAAACAGACACAAAAAACTGAGTAAGCAGAAAACAATTTCCAATGAATGACAACTAACTGGGGAAACGAAATGAACTGCAACTAGTTCTACATGTGTTTCCTATTAAACGTTTTTACGATCGGATTGTAAAGTACCTCACACAAAAACAATGCAATTGAGCCAGGAAAGCTACTGGCGTCCTATTCGCTATAGCTCTAGCACTCTTTCGGTGCCTATCTGCCATGCCACCCTAAGGAAGCATGAAGGCTGGGATACTGCCAGGTTGACCAAGCCTAGACACGGGAAGTCGAGAGGCAGAGGTCGGGTTCGAACCTTCCGGTCAGTAAATTCGCGCTCTAACCACTGAGCCATCTCGCCCCCCCCCCCTATTCGCTATAGACACTAGACCAGATAGAAAACGCGAAATGACAGATATTCCTGTGGCTTGATTGACAAGAAGAGGTGGAACAAGTCAAGTAAACAGAACGGAGAGGGGAGACAACTTCTGGTGATCGCAAGGAGTGGGGTTCAATTCGACCAAAGGAGAATCAGGCGGGGTAATCATATCAAGCTACACGAGGCCTAAGGACAGGCCTTACTACAAAGTGGAATTTTGTGAGTACGACAACAGTTATAAACTTTGGATAAGACCAAGACGAAATGAAGCACTAACTACGCATCATCGGATGGATAAAAGATTGAACAATGTGGTTCCCAACCCAATTTGTCCGATTTCATCTTTCCTTCTTCGAATGGAGGTTCTTGTAAAGAATAGATTGTATTAAGAACAGTGCATAAACCGTAATAATACCGATGTATTTTTACCAAATCTTTTTCTTGCAAAAACGTCTTCTTACCGTTTTTCGGTAAACAGAACTGTGGCGACTCAAGCCGGTGTGACCGTGCAAACATGTTACCGAAACAAGCCAAGTGCCCTACGTGTATTCATTGGTTTCCAAGATGCAGTGCAGTCGACCGCCATGTGCTTGACTGGAGTCATGGCGGCTTACCGATGCCAGTTTCTACCCAGATTGTCTAACTGAGTGTTGGAGGCACCACGGATGTTTGTGACAGGCTGGTAATCCCTGTCACACTTTTACCCGTCTTCACTATGGGGCTTTATTCAAATAAGTTTACATGGTTGTAGGGGATCTAAGCACCAGTGTCCCCTGGTGTTGCTGTCAGTGAAGACGACATAAGATTGACGGAAACACAGAGACAAAAGGGCTGTCTGAAGAACCCTAATGAAGCCAGTGGTGGGTTGTAGAAGATCCCGAAGTGTTAAAAATGGTATCAAGCCATGTGGTAACTTGGATTTTTCTGTAAATCTTGCACTACGGACGGAAAACACTGGAGGCGAGGATTGGATAGTTGATTTCTGTTTGGAGATGTTTTTTGTTGCAGATTCGTGAATCCATCGTTGCAGTCTTTAGAAACTTTGCCTATCGTCAGGGTGAAAGGAGTCCGAAATACATACTTGATTCAACGAAGCCAGAGTTTTAAGAAAAAATCGGGGCGAGACAGCTTAGTGGTTAGAGAGCGAATTTACTGACCGGAAGGTCCGTGGTTCGAACCCGACCTCTGCCTCTCGACTTCCCCTGTCTAGGCTTGGGTAACCTGGCAGTATCCCAGCCCTCGTGCCTCTTTCGTGTGGCACGGCAGCTAGGCACCGAAAGGGTGCTACAGCTGAGCGTTTTTTAAAGAAAATATCGACAGATTTAGTCTTTCTTCAGTGCCGTCACGTTTTACAACATGTTCTCATTTTTCCTACAACTTATAAACAGTTTCCCAGTGTCAATTAAATGTCCTCCTCGTCTTACATTCAAATACATCCACGAAAACCTATAGGAAGGGCTTGCACATCCACATTCAGTCGGGTGATTTGATAAAAAGCGTCAACGACATGGGATAGGTGCCCCTTTATTGTTCACAAAATAGGATGCACATCGAGACTCACACACACGCAGTGAAAGTTATCACATCACGTAGCTGTCAATGCACTAGGATCAGCTGACTGACCACAACAACCGACTCGGAAGTATGTACTACTGTCAAAGAGTTTCAGTAGGAGGTTTGCTATCCCAGTGACCGCTCAGTTGTGACCAAATCATTCATTCGCAGGGACAGACAGCTGGAAGACTGGGAACTGGAAGCGAGACCGATCGGCAACCATCTCCTAACACAACTGTATATACGGGGTTAGCACGCTTAACTTGGGCGAAGTGGATGATGATATCCGAGCTGAGTGGGTCATGAAAAAACGGTCAAAACGAGTCAAAACTCACTCGCAGAAACCATTTGTTCCGGATTTGGTCTTCAGTAAAGAAATCCAAGCATACAGTCTTGGGAATGTGACACAGTCCTGAGGGCCAGGGTCAGTTGATGCTTTTCCATAGGCTTGGATTAGGGGATCCCGAACGAGAAGACAGTGAAACTGGGCTAGTTCTGAAGCAATCAATCTACAAAGGGATGGAAAATCATGTGTGGAGGCCTCGAAGAGAGTTGAGATAAATTAGAGCATATAGTTGTATGAGGGAGAGTTCGAACCAAGCCAGAAAACACAAAGCAGACACATCCCGTTTCTAGACGCGTCGATTATAGCAAAATACTATCGGGCGTTACCAAGAACATAAATAAAGAAGAGCTTTTTGTAGCCAAGCTTCCGCCCTACAAAGCGAGCCTCATGCGGTCGAACGAATTCTTTCAACCTGTTAGAGAGAATCCGTCACAGGGAAGGGGATCGATCGAATATCAGGATGTGTGTGTACACTTGTATTTCTCAAACCTCATCAATGGAGTTTGAGCCAAATAGCCAGATGGACACGAAAGCAACTTAAGAACTGCCGTAAAATTGTTTTGGGACCGATCGAGCGAAGGAAATCCGCAGATGGTCTAGCCAGTTTTAAATGGTGCGCCAACCCAGCATCAATAGACGACGAACTGCACTCAGAACTGGACTGTCTTGTTGACAACACATCGCGCTCCGGCGTAACGAAAATCCCGAGTCCTACAATCAGGAAGGTCAGATTGCTGAAAATACACCCTGAACGCCTGGAACCTACTGAGTCTCTAAAACTCCACCAAAATCTCAATAGGAAAGCCGGCAAGCATCTAGGCCACTTAATCATTCAAGCAATTTAGCTGAAACAGTGATGACGTCGGATAATCGACGCCAACGGCATTCTTAATTGTCCGGTTCTAACCAGACTGTCCGAATGGAAGTGTAGGCACCTCGGAATGATTGTAGTAAGCTAGCACTAAGTCCGATCCCCGTCCACTTTTATTCTTTGCTTCACAATAAGTCTTTCGAGTAAATCGTGGTAGCGAGGTGTCAGTGTTGCTGTCGATAATGATCCGACTACAGTCATTCGTTAACAATCCACTGTGGTCAGGGGGGGGGCATAGATACCACGATCACGCAACTGTTGTTAGCCCCACAACAACGACTGCTCCTGGAGACTTTCCCGATGTACTTTATCTCTTCTCCGCGCACTTTGACACCCTACCCCCCCCCCCCCCCCCCGAAATCGCTGTTGGACAGTGAGACCGCTGCGTGAAGACATTTCATGGATCTTCCTTTGGTGAGGCAACGGAATGATGACATGCACTGGTAGCTGATCAGATGGTCGTTTACCCAACTTGACAACTGACTTGCAAACGTTTCGTCCCCAGTCGGGGAGACATTGTCAGTGCGCAGTTGAGTAGGTGCTTCCTCCGGGGCTAGCTGCGTTTATGCAGTTTCGCACTATATATATATATATATATATATATATATATAACGCAGATAAACACGGAGGAAGCACCCACTCAAATGCACACCGACGATGTCTCCCCGACCAGGGGCGAAACGCTTGCAATTCAATTGTCAATTGTTCGGCGAACGGATCAACGACCATTTGATCAGCCACCAGTAACCACATCCGAGCCACCTACATTCCGACACATTGATCATTTGCAATTCAGTGGAGAATCTTCAAACGAACACAATCACCAGGTTTAGGAACGAACACAATGCGGGGCGAAACTACCACGCCCACCGAAGAACCTTTAGAGAGCTTGCTTGATTTTCATCTAGTTAGTATTCAGGGTGTTTTATTTCGACCTTAGCTAGAAGGTCATTTTGCAACGAGAGGAATTATTTTTGAAGCGATTGGAAAACGAGTAAGTTGGAGTTCATTGTTCAAACTATCCTTAATGTGAATTTAAAGATGTATTGATGGTAACCTAAAAATGCTTCAGTGTGAAGACAGGATGTCCTAAGGGTTACACGCAACCGCGAGAATTGTATAACTTTTGACAAATTAATTTCACATTAGGAACCGAAAAAGCCGCAATGGATCAAACAAGCTGTTTTTTGCCGGGGAGGGGTATTTATGGGAACTGGCAGGTTGCATACATCTTACACCGTCATGTGGAGAGTTGGCACCGCGTTTGTACAATGATTTGAAAACATATCCAGTCAGATGACTTGGCGAACCTCTTAGACAGAGGACAGCTATCAGCTTGTCAAACCCGATGAGATGAATCTTAAGATTCAGTACGCACACTACGGCATAGCGGTCATTACAACTCAGGTTACTGCCCGCTTTCTCATCAGATTTAGTTACTTTTCCACTTTGTTAGCATCTGGTTGTGCAGCGTGATCGATGAAGAGGATCGAGTCCGGTACGTGTACGTGATAAATTCAAGTTGCCATATCACATGACTATCTGATCTGGTCTGGACACAGTACATGCGACCTTGCGGACGATCCGTGTCATCATGGTTTTGAGGGTACAGCATATGTGCATTGGTCATCGAATTGCGTGTGTGGACGACCGGTTGGGGCGAATAAAGGACGCGTGCGAACAGGACGTAAACAGCAGAACTTTAAAATACAGGTCATCTGATGTCACACGGTCAAACCAGGCGAAGCAACACAACCGAAATATGGTTCAATACTCAATCAAACATGCAGTCCAGCTTCACGTGTAAACGACCGATAGAACAGTCTATGTGATACACTACTCATAAGGTTGCTGAAAACTCCTCGACATTATGAATATTGCACTACAAAAATATATATGTATCGCGATATATCGAATATCGTAGCGACTGAAACATGAGGCGGCCTGGTGCAGCACATTCAGTTGCCTGAAAACATCACAAACGAGAGATTCAGGTGGGTTCCAGATGAGTCTCTCGAAAAACCAAATTAGTTTGCAAATGAGTGTATTTCGCCAGTCCATGTGAGTTTTTGGGCTGATAGTATAGGCCACCACTCTGAACTCCTGGGTTGGATTAATCATTTTCTGCTCAAGCAATCAGAAAAATACGACAGTCTTTAGAGAACTCAATGAGGATAATCTACTAACCAAGTTTTGACATTGTATTACCATGCTATCCAATTTTTAAAGGTTCTATCAAAACAATCGCCGCTCCGTTTGATCTTACAACACCTAATTAAACGGGTAAAAAAATACAAAGGAGTTGGGTATAGAGGTCACTCAGAGCCGGAAATTCTGGGACACATTTCAGAATCCAAAGTAACGCATCGAGTTGTGCAAAACATAGTGTCCATACGCCCCATAAACCAAAAAAAAGCGGTAAGTGCAGTGCCTGATAACGGATGCAAACACCGGTTCAAAACATGCCCTAGTATGCGAGTCGGCGATTCGCAACCGAAGCACCGACACCAGTGGACAGTCGTAGGACAACACTACATTGTCTGGGTTGGGACATCCGAAAAACCTCGGAAGAACCGGAAAACGTACCATGACGCATACTGATGACATGTGGCGGAAACCTAGCAGAAATTGTCTAATGACGTACGAATCGTATGTGACATTAGATCTGATTGGGATACAGAAGTACATGTTGTGGGATGTCCTCGTTTGAACAGACGTCCTCCTGTCCTGGCTCAATTATTCTGGTGAATCCACACCAAAGGCGGCGGGGGGAAGTACCGGACTCGAGTTTCGCTCTTATTAGAGCTCATCAACAATGCATATGACCAATGACCGTGCCGGGGTTTGAACTCCGGACATCTAACATGCGAGGTGAACGTACTAACACTATTCCACCAGCACACGTTGGACGTATCTGAATTCTCACGTCTGAACGAGCGAACTCGAGTCCATTGCTTCCCCCCCTTTGGTGTGATTTACCAGATAATTGCCTCAGGACAGGAGGACGTCTGTTCAAACAAGAGTGATGTGAATGTGAACAATACAAAGATACATTGATTCAACCTTCTCATCAAGGTAGTAAAGTGTTGAAAGGAGGAGAGTAATCATTATGATCATATCCAGCAAAGATGCCTCACTAATAACTAGGTTCCGAAGAGTCCATTACAGCATTCCACCTCATGACCTTAGGCGTGACCCATCCCAAAGGAGACGACAGCCTCCATTTTTCGGTTTCCTTGCAGAAGGGGATCGCTACATCTTCAAGCTGTGTTGCATCACGAATGAATCCAATCACTGCCCAATGCAGGCTCACCCGAATACACCGACATATCACAGCCACCTGGGTGTAACAAGTGCAAGACGCTGTGTTGTGTTCTGGTCGTGTGCTCAGTTCACAGGCATGTGCGTGCCCACTGATACTAAACGCGTGGGCTTCTATTCTGGTACAAACCAAACCTGTGTCTTGTACTACCTATCGCGAGTGAATCGGTGGAATTTCAAATTTGTTTACAACGCACAGACCTACCTACACAAACTGGAAGGAAATCCATACTTTCGTAGTGTACACGGAATGGGATCGACGGGGTCCGGGAGAGACAAACATACAGAAACTTGTTCCCTTAAAACAGCTGAAAAAGTTAGGAATAGGACTCAGTCGATTTATCATGTCCAAATGAAGAGTAAATTTAGTTCAAAAGCGACTGGTAAGTAGTGGCTTTTGTATGCAAGTGTTGTTTTGAGCGTTCAGCAAAGTCTCATGCTTTGCAGAGTTTCACATCCTGGATATTGATTGCCGAACAGGACAAAATCTTCGAGATAACTCAGTAATTAAGACACGAACTAATTGACTGGAAGGTCCGTGGTTCGAACCCGGCCTCGACTGCTCCTGCCTAGACTTTGGCAACCGGACAGTATTTCAGTCCTCGTGCTTCCTTCAAGTGGCATGATGACTGAGGACAGAAAGAATGTTACAGCTGAACTGTTTGTATCTCTCTCCAGAGGGGACTTTTAAAGCGAGATCATTATTCCTGAAGAGTCGAAAGCCGAGTTAAGCGGCGGCAAAAGGCAGATATGTCATCCTGTTCCCCAGAAGCTAAAAACCCCATTTCGCCGTGACGAAAGAACTGTCTTGCAGTTTTATAACAAACAGGTTTTCAACGTTCAACGACGGTGCTGAATAAATCAGCACAGTCGAAAATCCAACAACGGAGTTGCTGATGGCCCGAAAAATGAAAGAATGTTTTAGTTCTTGGCACCGTACGACCGAACCTTTACTAAGCAAACGGACACAATGACACGGTGCTGTGAGTCCTGTGGACTTTAGCTGGGTTGTACTCAAATCGACCCTCAGTAGACATTCCCGATACAGCCTACCAAGTCATCCTTCATGTTGTTTTTTTCAAAGACCTCAGGAACGGAGTCAAACGAGAAAGCCTTGTGAATTCGTAACTACAGTAGTTCCCATCCATCTGTTGGAATGTGCACAGAAGTGCAATCCGTCGGTACTGGCCTGCCCGAATGGGGATTCCGATAGTAGCATCCCTTGAAAAAGTTATTGTGTCTATAACTCAGCTTGAAATGCATATATGCATTTTGTGCTGAGGTTTCACTAAATGGCTCATAAGCATGATCCCATCGAACAAGGCTTTTCTGTCACCATTTCGAGTCACGGTTGAAACACTGTTCCTCGGGTTTCGTACATCAAACAAAAATCAGCTGGTCACTATGACAGTGTAACGCCATGAAGTCTCGATACCCCAGAGTGGCTATAAACTGAGTGTTGGGAATAAACTATCCGTGATATTATATCCCATCAATAAGGGTTGTAGTAAAGACAATACAGGTGAGGTCCATTTGAGTACAACCATCGAATGTGACCGTCTTCGCTAGTTTCTCAGAGTTCTCTATTGGAATGAACTGAATGCTGCCCGATGTGGCCCCGACTTTTTCACTAGACCGGGTGATTCGAACCGGTGATTCTTAAACTGGCAGGCTCATAGTCCCCTATCATTATGTGCTCAACATAATTACCTATCCGGTAATGTGGAATCCGACGAAGACAACAGAACAGCGCTCACCGTTAGGCGATATCCTCAAAAAGACTACCCCCGCGGAGTTCAAGTGGTCTACATTTCGAACAAACTGATAATTGTTCAGGTGTAACAAACTTTCGGTGTCGAGCTGCCTCGCATCCCGAAGGAAACACGGGGACTGAGACACCACCAAGTTGTTTAAGCCCAGGCAGGAGCAGTTGAGAGGCCAGGGTTGGGTTCGAACCACGGACCTTCCGATCAGCAAGTTTGCACCTTAGGCACTGAGCCATCTCGAGCTGGGTGGTCAATACTGCGGCACTAGTTCTTACAAAACATAACGACTAATGCTATAAATGACTCCAAATGATGGATGCCACCCCGTACTCTTCAGGCTGACAGCAATTCGGAAAAGGAGTGAGGCTTCCGACATTAACAAGGATGTATGCTGACTGCACCGTAAAGCTAGTCCACTAAATGTGGTTCTTACGACTCAATAAGCGAGAGATCGTTTTTGATAGAGATTTCATCTTGTCAGTGAAGGCAATCTATGCTGAAAAGCCGAGACGCATTGTGCAGCTGTTTCATCCCTATTGATAATCGCCAGCGGTGCACATCTCACGAAACTCCAGGGGGTTTCGAACCCGCAACCGTCCGACCCGTGGTTGAACACTGAACCGTTTGGCCACAAGTAGCTAGTCAGCAGTATGATTAGTCCCCACTTAGACAGGACATGGCGCCACTCATCCGTTCATCACGAAAACCACATCACGTGATCACATACTGACTGGCTCCTCGAGTGACGACTTATCAGAATGAAGTTTCACACAACTCACGAAGTAAGAAAAGTGCACACCTAAGTCTCAGTACAACCTTTTGAAGACGGATTAGATGCTTTTAGTGGATTATAAACGTGGTAAGTCGTTGTTTTAGACTCAGAATCAAGTTTATTAAACCTCTCAATACTCACTCAAGTTGCGCGACTGGGTTCGCAAAACGACCTGGTTTGATAACTTTACGAGTACATTCACAACCAACGAGCTATATGCTTTTAGTGGATTATAAACGTGGTAAGCCGCTGTTTTAGACTCAGAATCAAGTTTATTGAACCTCTCAATACTCACACAAGTTGCACGAATGGATACGCAAAACGGCCTGGTTTCACAACCAACGAGCTACGATCGGACCGGCTTGTTTACACGTAGTCAATGGGCCGATTAAAAGTGCCTGCGGATGGATGCACGATAATGCCTTGACAACGGCCCGGATTTTGCGGACAAGACAACTCGAACCAAGTGTTTAGCAAACGAAACAACGATGGGGATTGATCAAGGACATCCCACTGGAGCCTCTGTGGTCCGACGCCCTCCCCCTAAAACATAGCTACACCTATTCCGTTGTGAAACACTGGCCTAACTACTGTCTCCAACGTGCACGTGGTTGGGTAAGTGAGCGTTTATCGAGCCTCCTGACTAACGAATACTAGTTTCGAAAGTTGACTCACAACTACACCAACCATCGTCCAGGTTCTTGGTTGGCTAGGGGATAGATGAATCATCAGGAAGCGGCCAATCAGTACCAATAAAGCGAACCGTTGGCAAGCGATAGCAATAGTCTGGACACTCGAAACCCATTTAGTATCACAGTGAAGAAGGTACGAACTGTCGTGCTGTATTGTTCCTGATTTCGGAAACGATAGTGTCCATGTATGAGCAGAGTTACACCGAAATTTCCAAATTCCCATCGAAGGAAACTGGTCTTCTAGTCAACAATCTGAGAATCTAATCCGTGGTTCATTGGTCCAAGCTCGACTCAAGGCACGCTGAATAAGTGACTGCAGTTGAGAGACCCCTAACTCCCAGGCAATCAAGCCAAAAACTATTCTGATTTCGTTAACTAGAATTCCAGCCCCAGAGGAACCGTGTATGAACGCAGGTCTAACTGAGAACTCTGTTACGGACTCTCCAATATAATGGACGCTTTCTTGTAGGATAACTTTCTCCCAGTGTACTGTCCCTCTACAATCCACCAGAGGTGATTCGAAAGCCCCTGCCATATTCTCGGTTTTGGTGAAAAAATTTGAGGTTCAGGAAATATGCGTTATCGCTTAACCAGCTGCCGACATGGTCACGTAGACTGATCAGCACCGAGAAACCAGACTGTTCACTTAAGCCTTCGCTTATTACGATAAATGTGATCAAATCCCAGTATGCTGAGAACTGCAACCGATACCCTCAGCTGCTCAAGACCCGTCTGGTGGGCGAGCTAAATCAATGGGATCAGGGAGTACGGGCTTATGGAACACGGCTCATTTCTAGCTAGACTCTAATGAATGCCTGCTTGTTCAATGAAGACCACTCCACGTTCAACAACAAATACACTCATTTGCATCCAATTTGGTTTTCACCGGCGTCTCACGTGAATCCCTCGTTTATGATATTCCTCAACTGTGAATATGATGCATAAACGCCGTTTCATGCTTGGTACGATATTCGAGACACTACAGCATAATGAAGAAAAATTTTCAGTGGCTTTATAAGTAGTTTCCTTCATCAAAACCCCATATTAGGTTGCAGATCTGTTTGCTATCGAAGCAAAAACCAAGCGGCGGACACAAGTTACCAATAGTTCGCCAGATTAGCACAACTCCACTCTCAGGCTTTCGCAAAATGTACCTAATCAACAATGGCCAGGTGGCACTAAAATAACTCGACTACCCTGTCCTGCTACGTCTGCTACAAGGCACACCAGCTCTTTAATGAACCAACAATTCGCAAGCTGCTCGCGAATCACGTATTAGTTAGGCAGCAGCTGGCCTCTGTTGAAACTGAACCACACAATTAGATGGTCCGAGTTTCATTTAATTACTGATGCTGAAAACATGGTCGAACAACTTGCACCAAGGGACAAAAACCGCATTTGCTTAATGGTCTAGCCGTCCTAAACTCTTGAAGTCACGTCAAGGTCGAGAACTTTCTTGGTTCTTACGCAACCAGATGCAATTGCTACAAATTGACATAAGGGCGACTCTACACGAATGGAGTGAGTATGCACCGTAATATGCGCAATGTGCCGTTGCCCTCCGGTAGCTTTTGACTTCCAGATGAAAATATAACGCGGTATCAGCTCTATTCCTATGCTCTATGCTAAACAGCAATCTAAAAAGGTCTGGTGACCGGGTGGATAAAATAATTGATCACTATTTGATGATCAGGGTTTGAACCCCTGACTCACGTTCGGGTCTCCATGGAGTCTTATGGGTTGAGGATTCCCGATAAGGATGAAACAGCTATACGATGACTTAGCTGATTGGTTCTCCTTTCGCCTTAAATCGTAATTACTGATCATCACTTGGGTGTTTGTGATGCCAGGTGACCGTGACCCGAGATTGGCCAGTTAAAGCCGTTCTGGCACGGGGGAACTGGTCACACGCTACCCCCGCCATGTGGCATTCTTATACAGGGACTCTTGCTATCACCCATGTATGCACAATAATTAGATGACACCTGTGCGATTGTTCAATCAACAGACCGAACCGCTTACACTACAACTACCCTGCCCCTATCATCGGCCATATCACAAGCTATAT